AAACTAAAGATGAGGCTACCGTAATTACCAGAGAAAGATATTTTTGAGAGTGTTTAATACAGAGCCTGGCAATCAGTAAGAAGTCTTGTGTCTGTAGTTTTACACGACCAGGCTGTTCTTCAGCATCTTCCTGACAACACATTATTTTTCCCCCACTCTGCTTTCTCAGATGCTCTCTTCTTTCATGATGCCCACCTTCACTTCTTTTTGCCAACCTCCAGTACCCTTTAAGATCTGGCTCACACCTCCAAGAAGCCTTCAGTGACTGGCATTATTCCACATCAGTAACTGCTTTTGCTTTAATGTGTATTTTGAAAAACATCACTCTCTGCATATTTACTGTCAGTTTTGCCACATTCCTCCTAATTGAGTCGACTCCAGCATTACACAGCAGCTTCTGTCCTGCCCGAATTCTAGAGTCACCATGATTGAGACAGACCAGATTGTTAAAGCCCAGTTTTGAACATTAGGACCTTACATTACATGCTATGCCCTGATATGTACTATTTCAGCCTTAGTATGAGGTATAATGACCCGTTGCTGACCACCTGAAGCCCTGTTTCAGTCAGGACAGGCTAGATTTTGCTGTAGTAACAAATAACCCGGGTATTACAATGGCTCATAACAACAAAGGTTTATATTTTGGTCACACTGTTTGCCTATTACTGGTCATCGATGGGCTCTGCTCCATTTATCGTCTGAAACTCAGGCTAATGGAACCTGGCCTCTTTGCAAAACATTGCCATTGGTCATGGCTTATGACTGGTCTCAACATTAAATGCTCCATCCTCGAAGTGATACACCTCTCTTCTACTGACAACTCTGGCTAGAATAAACCTGACTTCAAGGAGGTGGAGAAGAAACAGAGGAGGACAGAAAGTGCAATTCTATCATGTATTGGGAGGGCTTGAATAACTGGTATTACTTTCATTGTGGCCTGGGGACCAGTGCTCATCCCAACGTTTAATGGTACTCCACATCTGAGAACCAGATTATGATAGTGGAGTTTACAAGTCCAAGTCCTTTTTCTATTACTCATTCTGTAGGCCTGAGATCCTCCTGGGTCTCCTTTCTGAGGTCCTATTCTGGTAATTAGCATGTTTTCCTGGGTTCCCAAATAGGGCTGGAAGCCTTGTCTTTCTTTTTCAGTCCCCATCCCTTAGGATACAGGAGTCTCATTTATCCAGGTGTTAGAGTTCTGCTAACTGTAGGCAGATCATTTTATAGATGGCATTGAATGCTCAAACTCTGATCATTCTACAACTGAATTGCACCTGTTCGGAAGCCCTGACATTTTTGTTTGGATTGTCTTATGCTGATCATTTGCCCAAACCCCAAACAGAGATCCAGTCTGCAAAGCTTTTAAGTCTCGCTTTCTGCCCAGAAATTTCTAAGCTTGTAATATAATTTGGGTCTAAATTCCAGCATCTTTTCCCTAGTAGTCAAGTCTTCTCCAGGCATTAAAGATGCTTCTTTCTTGCTGCTCGTAAACAACCATGCTGCCTTGATATATCCTGAGGCATGTCTAGTTGTTTTTGATTTTTTTCCTAAACATTTTTTCCTCTCCTCCATTTCCCAATTTTTCTTAGCATCTAATGTAGCACAGTGAATATAGTAAGTATTTAATAACCACTTCTTGGGTGAATGAACACAGAGCTGCAGACTTACCTTGAAACCCATGAAGCTTGCTGAATGCTTTAGTATTCCATCAGGAAAATGGGGTAATGATACTTAATTCAGGAAGGTATTAGGCGGATTAGATATGTTCAGTGTGGTATGTGCTGGAAGAGGCACCCATCACAAGACATTTCAGTAATATTAATGACAAGATGTGGCTGAGTCAGACACCAGCCAGGGTGTAGAGGAGCACCCATTTAGTGTGCCCGAGTGACATTCGTCAACAAGGGATGGAATTTTTGTTTTCTTACCTCTCATCCGTATCTGAACTGTGTTCCTGTATCCTTCTCTTGATGTGAAGGAAAAATAACCTCTCAATTGATTTGTTTTTGTTTTTTCTTTGAGGGGGGAAGGACAAGAGAGGTGGATTCTTGAATAAATGTGCAGATAGTTTTAGTTTTTTCACGCTCTCACTTTGGTCACTTTTATTTTGCATAGTCATTGCACTGGTTTGATTTTGACTTAATACCAAAAAACTTCTTTCATAATTTCTGTGCATTTTGAATGATTATCTTATCAAGTTTAAATTAATAGGAAATACAGATCTAAATACTATAATGAAGCCTTTGAAATCTGCTATCTGTCTGTCTGGTTATCATTTTAATCACTCAGCACAACATTATGAACTACAGTAATGTCCTGGCCTAAAAGAATTGTTAAAGATGGCAGAGCTAGGGCTGTCATATGAGTTGTCACCGCACTGAAAGACCAAAGCAGAAATACAAAGGTGTTTTCATTAGTATCAGATCACGATGAAATCAGTCATGGAAAATATTTGAAATGGGTAACTTGATCAATAAATTAATTTTATTGTTATCTTTAAGATTACAGTGTGGTTCATTTCATAATAGATGACATTTTAGCAGGCTTTGCATTCTTTTGGCTGAAAAAATTGCCAGTTGTTAAAGGACTGTCAACCACTCTCAATTAATACAGACTTCCAAATTCTTTCGGCTTAAAATTCTGCAGATATCAAAGACCTTATTTTCTAGGAGATATTCAGCATACCAATAAGAGTTACCTGTATTTCTTTGCATGTTGTAGTAATCCAGGTGTGCTCTATTCTAGCTGCTGCCCTTATGATGTGAGCACAAAAAGTGTTCTTTGAAAAACTAAGAAAATTCCAGTTTTATACTGAAAATTTAAGTGCACAGCAATTTACTTGTTCATTCTTACTTTGGCTCTTATAACACTTCATGAGTTAATGATAGGGAGGGTAGGACTTAGATATTATTTTGTCAGTGACCTAATGATGCACCCTGTGGAATTTTGCCTACTCAGTGGTATGGAAATCCAGTGCAGAATTTAAATATGTGTGTCTTAGTACCACAACGCCATACTAGATTTTTTTAAAAGCTCAAGTGAAATATATATTCTATTCAAATATATGTTCACTAGATACATTAAATCGATTTTTAAATTCATTGACTTACCAGGTGGTCATGATTAGTACTAGTGAAACTCCTAACTTGCCTGGGTTCCCTGTAGTTAAGTGACCATATGTCCTGGTTTATATGGGATAGTGTTGTCGCTGTAAAATTAAATTATTAATACTGCTCCCTTTTGCTCTCAGAAATACTTTGACTTGGAGTGATAAAATATATGATCACTCTACTTTCATTGTCACAAAAGCCATAGTTCCATTGCTTTAGTTTCATTATGGAGAGGCAAAGCATTGTCTCTTCCTCCTCCTTAGAACGAATCCCTTCTCTAACTTTTTCATGCCTTTTGTGTTCTGTAGATCCCAAGGCCATTTTACTTTGCTCCCGTGGATTCCAATGGAAACTTTAGCTAAAGAGTGCATTTATAAGAGCACTTTAGAAATGATCAAAATACGTTCTAATACATAATCAGTATACGTTTTACTCTACTCCAGGAAAGCTGAAATCTTGGCTCATTCACCATTGAGCACTCAGCATCTTGCACAATGCTTGGGTATAGTAGATGCAATAGTACTTATTGAAGGAATACACAATTTGAAAACTTAACCTATTTTTTAGTGTAAGAAAATTGAAGTTTCTTTACACACACAATTTTCTTCCCTAAAGGTATGAAAACACTCCATGAGCACCTTTGGAATCATTATCTAGTAAAATATTTCTCAAATATTGTTTGAATAAGGATTACTTGGCATTTAGCTGAAGAGTCAGGCCCTCAGACCCTGCCCCTGACAGTCTGGTTCAGTAAGTCTCAGGTGGCATATAACAGGCGTCATATCTAGGATCCTTTCCAAATCCAAGTCTTTGAAATCTTTGTTTCACTTTGTTTTCAAAAGGACATTTGCTTGACTTCCTACTAGGCTATCCATCTTTCTACAGAGTCACTATTAATAAGCTAATTATAGAGATGATATTAGGCTGAAAGGAAACTGGGTTCCATCATGCTACTGGTTTTGTCACTTCTCTTCTTTGGATACAAATTTCCTCGACCTTAAAACGACAAGGCTGAACTACAAGATCTCCCGGACCTCGTGCAGCTCCATGATCAGGTGATTCTTATCTTTGAAACCTGATAGGTATCTGGCCAGTTAAAAAGTGCTCTATGAGACATTTTCAACTAAAAAGCATAAGTACTTCGTCTTTGTTGCTTCATTTGTAATAAATTATCTATGGACAAATTACTACAGAAGAGATAGTTTCAGACTTTTAGGTTATTTAAGCACTATTCTTCATAAACAACTTTCGACACAAATTTTATTTGAGATTTTCTGGATACATGTATTGGGAACTGATTGAGCATTTTTTATTTGAGGTTAACAATGATTTCTTAACTTTTGCCAACTGACTTTTAGATCCCGCCGAAGATATTTCTGCAGGTAAGAAAAAAGTCCTTTAGTTTTGAGTATAATTTGCAGAAGTTAGAAAAGGCTCACCTGCCCACGTATCCTGTTACTAAATTGCAAGCAGAATCAGAAGTAATCTTCTGGGTAACTATTGCCAAATACAAACAACCAAATTATATTATTTTTTCCCAGAAGTATAAATCAAGTTAGATGAACAGTTTCCAGAAGCAGAGAGAGAGAATAGACTGGAAAAGTTTTAAAGCTGAGGAGGAACTCGAGAAGGTCAAGATTTAATGAGGAGAGGGTCATGATTGCCAGTAAGTTGTTGCTAATAGAGGGGAAAGAGGTTCATGTCTGGTTAGTAAAGGAGCAACAACAACATTCACTTATTTCAGAATTCTATCTTGGGCTGTTTCTGAGATCAGAAGGAAGAGTTCTGTGAAATGATGTGATAGGAGAGAGAAAAGGAAGATGGTATGATTGCAGTGTCTTTCTACTAGGCGGGCTGCGTGGTGGCATAGTATTGGGGTGTAATCACAGAGGTGGGATTGATTTTCTTGTTTCCTTATGTAATTGCTTAACACCCCACTTCTTCCTTTAAGGTGGAGCCCATCTAAAGAATAATTATTTATTTAGCCTAATCCACACTAGCACTGATGTCTCATAGTAGATGCTAATCAACTCTATTATTCCTCAAGGTTGCAGGTTTATAAAGGGCAATGAACAGGCTGAAAAATGTTTCTGGAGGTAAACTTGTGATACCAGCACCTCAAGAATGGACAGAAAACGTGGGAAATACATAGTGAATATTGAACACTCTGGAAACCAGCCGGTGAGTATTGGTGGCAGCACTGTGGTATGTTCAGATAGGTCAGAGTCTTGTTTTCAATAATTATACAACTCTTAATATTTTTTTGTTACAAAATGATTCTTCCATGGAAGACAATTTTTGGCTGTTCTATTACTACTTGTTAATTAGAAAACCTGTATTTTTTCTGTATATCAATATATGCAAAATTGAGAAATTCATTTTAATACTCACTGATCTATTAGCAGATTTGGGTAATAATTTAATAACCTGTTCAAATAATTCTCTACAGTTATAACTGAAGTATAAGACAACAAATCTACACTTGGCTTGATTAACAAATTATGTTCTTAAAATGTGATATATAAATGTGTTAATTACCTGGGTTTTTAGTAGAATGTGTGGATTTGTCAGAGCTCAAAGATCTCATGTATCTTTGAAAGTTAGAAGACAATCTTGTATGTGAAGTCTAGGCCTAGGAAGCAAATTATCTAGCAAATTCTCTGGATTAGTCTCTACTTAACTACATCTGAATTTCTTTTTTGGTAGAGAATTGTATTCAAGTGAAATATTAGAGTTCAATTATATATAGTATTATTTGACTATTGCTTATGTTTTTAGAAGAAACAATTTACTATTTAGTGCTGTGTTTTGGGATTGCCTTTTATGTAACTGTTCATATCTGACTAGAGCCCTTGATACTAGAAATAGAAATGGAAATTTGTTGAATAAAATCAGTGTAAGTTTGAATGGACAATTACATTTTGTGAGGAAAATTATTTTTGTCCCCCTACACTAACAAGGAAGTTATGAGGCAAAGAAAGCCTTCTCTTGATTCTAGATCAACACCCCTTCCCCTAAAGATGTTCTTCCTGGTTCTTCTGGTCTTACAACCATGTCTTTATGTTTTCACAGTGTCACGATACTCAGATAAAAAGGTCCCTTTAGTAAGGAATTGGTCATCTTGAAAATTTCCCTAGACAGTGCTGGGAGTTTTCAAATAAAGGGCATGTATTTTCATCATTGACTGTTTCACTTTACATCTGGGTATTTGGACATAATGGCAGAGAAAAAAAATTTTTTTCCCATTGAGGGCCATTTTTACCAATGGATTAAGTATCAGTTGAAGGCTAAATAAAACAGAAAAATTTAGGAGTTTGTTTTTCCCTCTTAGGAAACATGAAATGGTAAATTAATCTCTTTTAAGTTATGAGCAGAGAATTTAAAATTTTATTTCATGAACATAGCTAATGCATATTAGATGTATATCATGGAAATTATTGGTTTCTACCAAGAGGTAATTAACTATAATTCATAGCTCCCCAACTGCTCAAAATTTTAACTTTAGAGACTTAACTGCTCTCAGTGTAGTCACCCACCATCTTCCTTCTCTTAAATATTTTTGATTCTGGTAAGTTGATCTGGCTAGTGAATTTTTATTTAATTACAAAAGTTCAAAAATATTCAAGTTCATCAGCTACAAGCAACTGAATAGCTGAAGAATAGTGATAGTAATAATACCCCAAAACACAAAGCTTTTATAAAATATAAATCTTCGTGATTTTCTCAAAGTTAGAAACAGATGGAAGTTTGTTAAAGTACCTGTGTGTATCATATCTTCTCTTATTAGGTATCACTACATAGTTATTCTGTTTATTTCTTTGGCATGATTTTGTAACTTTAGAAACACAGACCTTGACTAATTTTTTTATGCCCAAGTGTCTTCCTTCTTGACTATATATGATTATACTCCCTTTTATCTTTAGTTATAGTTGCTCGATGGCCAGTGTCTGCACACATACTTAGCTTTATTACTATAATAGAAATTATAGATTAATTGAACTAGTAATGTCAATGGCATTTTCAAAAACCATTTAGGAGTGGATATTTAATCAATACGATTGAGAGTACAGTTAAATAATACTCGTGCTGTCCCATGAGAAAAAATTTAGATACTTCTATAATATTTTTCAGCTGTAACAAATTACATTCCCCTAAGTATGTAACACAGATTACGCTCCTTCTTTTTCTTAAAACTGTATCTGGAGTTATTTTTCTTTTAACTGTGCCTCAAGAAAACCTAACCACCAAAATCTTTCTTAACTGAATCCACCCTTTTAATTCATTTACTTTAAAAAATTCAGCATGTATTTGAAAGATTTAAAGAATAATATAATAATAATAAACTTGGTACAAGCACCAAGTTGAAGAAATAAACCATTACAGATATAGATGAAATCTTTGTTTTTTAATTTTTTTGTTGAATATATTTGACATATAACATCGTGTAAATTTAAGGTGTGCGATGTGCTCCTTTGATATTATTACATATTCTAGTATGATTGCCACTATAGTGATATTTATCACATTACATAATTATAATACAAGAAGGTTGTCTATACCCATTACACTGTTCCTTAGTTGTGAAATCTTTTGTTTATATCTTCCCAACACCCCTCCCTTTCTCCTCTGTGCTACCCATCTCATAAAGACTATGGTGAATATGATTGTGCTCAAACATTTTCCAGCTTCTAATCTTTTTGCACGTATTTTGTCAAATTCAAACAAGTCTTTTGTGCTTCACCAATGAAGCATAAGATCTGTAAGAGTAGAAAAATCAAATAGAAACTAGAAAATGCATGTTGGGAGGTTGCCAAATGACTTGTCTTCCATAGTTCTTTCATGGACTGCCTAGTTCTGTCAAAAAAGAGGATGGCATTAATAATATTAAGGCCATAGATCTCGTTCTGATATGAGGAATTTTAGTTAGTAGAGTGTGGACAGATGGATACTGGTCTTATTAGACTTAGAAACCCTGGCACTAGAACCTGAATAATGTAAATTTGTTGTTGTTTTGAAAAACTTTAAAAAATATTTAGACTTATAGAAAATTGTGAACACAGTACAGAGAGTTTCCATGCACCTGGGATGCAATTTCCTCTTTTTTTTTTCAATTTGACTGAGATATAATTGACATATATCACTGTATAAGTTTAAGGTGTACAGCACAATGATTTGACTTAAATACATTATTAAGTAATTACCACAATAAGTTTAGTGAAATTCCATCATTTCATATAGAAACAAAATTAAAGAAATAGAAGACATTTTTTCTGATGAGAACTCTTAGGATTTACTTTAACTTTCATATGTAACATACATCAGTGTTAATTATGTTTGTCATGTTGTGCATTACATCCCTAGTACTTATTTATTTTATAACTGAAAGTTTGTGCCTTTTGACTGCCTTCATCCAGTTCCCCCTCCCCTCAATGGACCCCACCTCTGATAACCACAAATCTGATCTCTATTTCTATGAGTTTGTTTGTTTGTTCTTGAAGTATAATTGGCCGATAGTAACACTGTATTAGTTCCTGTTACACAACATAGTGTTTTGGTATTTTTGTACATTTCAAAATGATCACCATAGTAAGTCTAGTTACAATCTGTCACCATATAAAGATATTACATAGTTATTGGCCATATTCCCCACACTGTACATTTCATACCTGTGACTCATTTATTTTGCAACTGGATGTTGGTACCTCTTAACCTCCCTCACCTCTTTTCCTCACCCGTTTCCCCTGTTACTAACATTTAACATTAATATGGTACATTTGTTACAATTAATGAACCAATGTTGATACATTATTATTAGTAAAAGTGCATACTTTATTCAGACCTTCTTAGTTTTTACTTACTGCACCTTTTCTGTTCCAGGATCACACTGCAGATACCAAATTACGTTTAGCAATCATGACTCCTTGGGCTTCTCTTGGCTGTGACAGGTTCTCAGACTTTCCTTATTTTGGATGACCTTGATAGTTTTGAAGAGTACTGGTCAGATATTTTGTAGGATTTCCACCAATTGGAATTTGTCTGATTTTTCTTCCCCTGATGATTAGGCTGGGGCTGTGGTTTTTGCTTTAGGGACGACCATGGAAGCAAAATGCCGTTCTCATCACATCAGGTCAATGATACCTGTTATTAACATGACTTATCATTGTTGATGTTGACTCTGGGGACCTGGCTGAAGAAGTAGTTGACAGGATTCTTAAAGTTGTTCTCCACACTCCCCCTTCCCAAACTGTGTTCTTTGGAAGTTGCTGTGCTCAGCCCACACTTAAGAAAGTGGGGAGTTATGTTCCTTAAGGGTATAGTGTCTATGTCAATCATTTGGAGTTCTTCTGCATAAGAGATTTGTCTCTTCTCCTTCATTTATTTATTTGTTCAATGATTTATATGAATATGAACTCCCAGATATTTGTCTTGTATTTTTGGTTATAATTCAGTACTACTGTAAGTTTCTTGCTCAAATTGTTATAGCATTGGCCTTTGAGAACTCTTTCAGTTAGTTCTTGT